ATTCTCCTCCTCTTCCCCCCCCCCTTACCCTCTCTCCTATCCTCTCTTCCTATCTTTCTTCTCTCCCGATTCCCACTCTTCCTCTCACTCACTTGGTGTATTTCAGCTTCTAAGCAAACTCCATTCTTTTTTAATGGTGTTTATACTTCCATTTCAATATACATGACATATCTTAGTTTTAAAGAGAAAATAAGAGAAAACAATATACATGTACAATCATATTATTTTAAAACCTAACACCCCTCCTCAAGCCTAATATACTTCCCCCCCCTCCCCCAACCTTCCCTCCCCTGACTTCCCAGAACCAATACACGGTATAAATCTTTAACAAAAACAGTTTAAAATATATTTGAAAAAAGAATAAGAAATTAATAACATCTTTAAATTGAACTTAGCTCCGTGCCACCTTTTTGAAGACTAGTGCCATTTTTTTCTTTGTCCTTCAACTGGCTGCCTGTTATGCCCCCCTCCTCCTTTTCCAGCTGTGTGGAAGGGAAGAGCTTCCCCCTGTCCAGCTGAGGTTGCCTTTTATATAAGTCGCCAGAGGGAAACCTGCCTGCCCCCCCCTTCCCCCTGCGTCTGTGCTGCTTCTGATCAGCTCCTGCAAGGCTCTTGTCCGGTACTGGCTCTTGGCTTGGGAGCTCAGGCTGCTGTCAACAAAGAAAACACAGGGGCATTGATAGGAGGGTCCTGCTGGAAGAAGAGCTATAGAAGAATGATAAAACATTCCTGGAAATTACTCTTATGCCCACAGGATACCCATTGACCAGAAAATAACCTGCCGACTTCATTCAAGGAGGACTAGTTTCAAAGAACTTGGGTTAATTTTTGATGATGAAGGTTGCCCTTCTCTTGTCCTCCTTCCTGGAGTTCAAGTAGCCATTGTAGTTCTTGGCAGGAGCTCTTGTGAAGGAGAAAGAGAGGGGCCGTCCAGAGTCCTCCCAGACTGAGGATGTGCTTGGGCCCAAGGTCCCTCTCTCCTGGTCAACTGTCTTAATCTCCAGGCCAACCTGGTGCTTTAAAGTAAAATCTGGTGGACTGGAAGTTGGCCACAGTCAAAGGAGTTTTAACTTGCTTGCTGTTCAGTTTTAATCAATATTTACAGTATCTCTTTTGGGAGATGCTTTCTGAGTTAGAAAACGTGTGTGTGTGTGAGCAAACTTGCCTGAAATGTCTGAAACTTGGATCTCCCCAGTGGCACCTGATCCTGCTCTGCTTGCAGGATCCTTCAGGGTGTTGATTACAGGCGGAAAGACAATCACTTTAAGGGCCTTCTTTCTTGCACAAGGACATTCTGGCATTTTGGCCCAGTGTTGGCTTGCATTTGATTGCAAAATGATGATCCAGGGAGAGATAAATAAGGAAACTCCTGGAAGTAGTGGTGAGAACCAAGGGAAAACTGACTTTTTGCACGGATGATGACAAAATAGTTATCCATTAGACGCTGCAGAGGCTACACAAACTGAAAAGCTTTTTGTATGAATCATTCACAGGCTTTAAGCTCAGTGCCAAGCCTGCTTTCCTCAAGTTCTAGTTCTCTCTTGTGGAACGGGGACATTTGGCCATTGCCACGAGGACCTCAAGACTGCAGCTTGTCATGTATTTTCCATAGCTGGAGGACTGGCCTTCTGCTTTTTTTTTTTCAATGCTTGAAATTGGATTAAAAAGTTAAATGGGCACAAGTGAGCATTGTAAGCTTCCCTGTTGATGTTTATTTTAAACGAGATTGCTTTTGTTTGGGACACAGTTAATTTATTTTTAAAGTAGCTGCTTTAAAACAAGACTCTTAGTGGCGACAGTGAAGATGATGGTGGTGGGGGTTCTAAAATGGAGCAAAAGTGATTCGTAGTTTGGCCTAGTGGTTAAGGCACTAGGCTGGAAAGCAGCAAACCCTGAGTTTTGCGCCCTGTCCTATTTGGGTGAACTTTGGGCCAGCCCATCTCACAGAGGATTATGGTTGTACGGGAAATAGAAGGAGGACGGTGATGTGTTAGATATGCTCACTGCTTCGAATTATTTGTAAAAATAATAAAGGAGGGATATCAATAAATATGGGAATCTGCTGTATCCTCTTGGGAAGCTTCCTGAAGGGCCTCGGTCTGCCTGTTGATTCCCACTGAAAAGCAAGGCTTCGCCTGCCTCGTCACCAGTTGACATAGATGGCTACAGAAATCAAAAGTACGGAAGGATTCTTGCTGGAGTAAGCTAGAAATTTTGAGACTTGAGGTGGAATTGCAAAGCAGCTTCTTTCTTGTTCCTTCAGATGAAAATATCCTTCAACGAGGCCAGTTTGCAAACCATGTTTGAATATCCATCTGAGGGCTCCTTAATGGTGGAAGAGGAGGAAGAGGAGGAGGAATACGCCACAGAAGTAGATGAGACGCCCACCTTCCGCATTCCTCGCGCAAACACTGCTGTCAACTCAGGTAAGCCTCTCCTTTTCTACCCTGTTTCAAAACCTTTTGGGTTGAAGCTATGGCAGATTCCCCAGTCATGACGACTCTTTTGGAAGGGGAGTTGGGCAAGGCAATGACACCATTATCCGGTGGTTTCCACATCCAGGAATGGAAGCGGATATTAAGCCCCTGCAGTTAAAGCACCAGCATCCCCAGTTAAGATAGAAGGAAATAAATTCAGGAAGTTGAAACTTTAAACTTCCACCTCCATCTCAGTAGAGATTTTGCAGAGGATGACGACTTTCCACCCTCCGGGATCTCTGCTCGCCCCATCCCATCCTAGTCTTCCCCTCATGCTTCTACTGACTCTGGGCACTCACCCTTTCTGCTAGGTTTGTCCGGTTACATTCCAAAGCACTCCCTGGGCTTCAACAAGTGGCAGGAGCAACTGCACCAGAAGTTGCCTTCAAGCGTCGGAGCCCTTCCACAGGAGACTGACCAGCCGGCCATGGTAAGACTTGGGCAGGCGTGTTTTGTCTTTTTGCCTGCAACTGTGGGGGCGGGGAGGTATCAGTGGGTGGCAGCTTCTTAACGTGCGAACAAAATAAACTTGTCTGCAATAAAGCAGAGTTAGCAGGCAAGGTTCAGAAGAAAACTGGTGCTACAGGTAAGACCTGGCATCAACGTCATTCCAGTTTTAAATGGGTGCCCTTTCTACGGGGCCACAGGGCTCTGCTTCGTTGCATTTCTCTTCTCTGGGACATGGAGTTCCAAGAAGAATTAAATAGGTTGCCTCTCCACAGTAGGGACAGAATAAAACAGGGTGTGTGGGAATCAGCAAGATATCTGAATGACCTGATCTCCCCAAAACAAAGAATAGCTTTCTTCAGAGCCAGATTTAAC